ATTTCAAAGTTTTTGGTGTTGTGCAGTTCATCTCTTCGTTGTCTTTCCGTCCCTTCTACCTGCTCTTTATGTATGTTCCTCTCTCCTTATTTTCCTTGGATCAAATTGATCCCTGGTGGTGGTCTGTAGGGTTTCAATTTGTGGTCCTTAGGTTTTGTTCATTAGGAGTTTCCTTGGATCCTTTACGCCTCTCCCTTTTTTCGTCGACCGCCCATTAGTGTTCAGGTTATCTCTGATGAGGGTTTGGAGCCTCAATCTAAGGGCTATAGAAGATTGCTCCTCTAATCTACCCCAGTTAATCATAGGTTAAGGTGCGGGGTTCCTATGGTGAGGGTTGTGTTTGACACTTCTTCTGAGTCCTCTTCTTCCAGCTCTCGAATGCTTAATGGTAATGTTGAGGGTGAGGAGTCTTATTCTTCTCTCGTGGGGATGAAGATCTCCCTACCAATTAGGAAGTTCAGGAAGAGGAGCTTCCTTTAGCCTTAGTTGAGACTAGGGAAGTTCTTCCAGAACAACCTCGCGGGGTCTATCCGCGTGCCCTTGAACTCGAAGCAACTACCTGGGGCCGTCCAGAGGAGGTTCTTCAGATTGAGTCCTCTAGTAGCCTCTTGATTCAAAATCGCAATATCGGTCATCAATTCGGGGTACTGATACACTTCGGTCGCGACGCGGTATCGATCGATATGCTCAAAACACAATATAGAAACTTCAAAAAAAATTTAAAAAATTATAAAAAATTCTAAAAATATAGACATCATCATTTATGCGTCATATGTTCACAATACATCAAAAAACACATTAAACATAATTAAAATGAAACATAAAATTGCTAGCGAAAATAATTATCATTATCAATATTCAATGTAGACATTCAATTTACATCACAGTTATATTTTTTTAAATTAAAGTTATAGTTTTTTAATAAATATTAAAGTTATAATTTTTTTGATCATTAAACAGCAATCCTTGTAATATTTATTCAATAAATAAGTAACTTAAATATAAAAATAATTTAATTGTACATCATTTGAAATAGTACATATATTTTTTATCCAAAAAAAATAGAACTTATACTCACTCATTTATTATTATAAAATATTAATGTATATAATTTTTTTGATCATTAAACAACAATTCTTGTAAAATAATGTAAAATGGGCTGTTGGGGAATTGAACCAATGACCTGCAAGGTGCTAATTTGCTTCTCTACCCAATTGATCTACTATTTTTATACTACTTTTAAGACAAGTATAAATATTTAAACAACACTCACTCAAAANGATAGGTGGAGCTGAACTTTGGTTTAGGGTGTCATTAGGACCAAAATAGAGAGAGATTTCAAAGTTTTTGGTGTTGTGCAGTTCATCTCTTCGTTGTCTTTCCGTCCCTTCTACCTGCTCTTTATGTATGTTCCTCTCTCCTTATTTTCCTTGGATCAAATTGATCCCTGGTGGTGGTCTGTAGGGTTTCAATTTGTGGTCCTTAGGTTTTGTTCATTAGGAGTTTCCTTGGATCCTTTACGCCTCTCCCTTTTTTCGTCGACCGCCCATTAGTGTTCAGGTTATCTCTGATGAGGGTTTGGAGCCTCAATCTAAGGGCTATAGAAGATTGCTCCTCTAATCTACCCCAGTTAATCATAGGTTAAGGTGCGGGGTTCCTATGGTGAGGGTTGTGTTTGACACTTCTTCTGAGTCCTCTTCTTCCAGCTCTCGAATGCTTAATGGTAATGTTGAGGGTGAGGAGTCTTATTCTTCTCTCGTGGGGATGAAGATCTCCCTACCAATTAGGAAGTTCAGGAAGAGGAGTTTCCTTTAGCCTTAGTTGAGACTAGGGAAGTTCTTCCAGAACAACCTCGCGGGGTCTATCCGCGTGCCCTTGAACTCGAAGCAACTACCTGGGGCCGTCCAGAGGAGGTTCTTCAGATTGAGTCCTCTAGTAGCCTCTTGATTCAAAATCGCAATATCGGTCATCAATTCGGGGTACTGATACACTTCGGTCGCGACGCGGTATCGATCGATATGCTCAAAACACAATATAGAAACTTCAAAAAAAATTTAAAAAATTATAAAAAATTCTAAAAATATAGACATCATCATTTATGCGTCATATGTTCACAATACATCAAAAAACACATTAAACATAATTAAAATGAAACATAAAATTGCTAGCGAAAATAATTATCATTATCAATATTCAATGTAGACATTCAATTTACATCACAGTTATATTTTTTTAAATTAAAGTTATAGTTTTTTAATAAATATTAAAGTTATAATTTTTTTGATCATTAAACAGCAATCCTTGTAATATTTATTCAATAAATAAGTAACTTAAATATAAAAATAATTTAATTGTACATCATTTGAAATAGTACATATATTTTTTATCCAAAAAAAATAGAACTTATACTCACTCATTTATTATTATAAAATATTAATGTATATAATTTTTTTGATCATTAAACAACAATTCTTGTAAAATAATGTAAAATGGGCTGTTGGGGAATTGAACCAATGACCTGCAAGGTGCTAATTTGCTTCTCTACCCAATTGATCTACTATTTTTATACTACTTTTAAGACAAGTATAAATATTTAAACAACACTCACTCAAAAAAAAAAAACCAACAAACCCAGCATATATTTCAAGTGAAAATTTGTTTCAATTTTTTTGAGTCTCAGACGAAGACTTCTCATCTTCTCGATCACGATGAGAGAGAGATAGGTGCAGACAGAGACGATACCACCACGGTCCTTCACCGACAGTGAGAACCAACACAGAGGGATCCACTCATGAAGAACCGAAGAAGATCGCAACAAAGAACCAAAGTATCCTGATTTCACACAAAAACATATGAATATGCAGACCTACTGGTATGCCGAATCTTTAGTATTCTTCGTTTTTATAGTTGAAAAAGTGGGTTTTAGATTTCAGGGTTCATGTGCTTTTTGCAATTTTCACATGGGTTTCGAGTCTCGACTGGTAGTGGGTGTGCTTTATTTCACATCCCCTTTTTTTTTTTTGATTTTTCTTCAATTTTCAGCAATGATTTGAATGTTTTTAAGCTTTAACAGAGTAGGTCTTGAATTTTTCTTCTTTCTGTCAGATTTGGGGGGATTTGTTCACTGACTTGGTCGACTCGGCAAGATTCCGATTTATCTCGGCTGAGTTGAACCGATTGAACACCGAGTCCTTTGATTTCAGACGATATCGCCGAAATATCAGCGATACATATTCAATTCGTGATTTCTACGTTTCGTGTACCATTATCGTATCGCCATAGGCCAAGTCGTATCGGACTTGGCCGATACCTTGAACCATGAGTAGGCTAGGGAAGAGGAAAAAGGGAAAAACGGGTGGTGCATCCTTTCATTGATTCAAAATAGGAGAAAGGTCACGCAAGACCAGTTTGATTTGACTGTTGAAACGGAATTCTCAATAGTCGTTGATAGCGCATATGTATCGAATATTAACAATTTTTCATTAAAATCCTACAAGGTCAAATTAAGGTTTACCTTTGAGATCTCTCGGAACTGATCTTGTCTCAGCACGAACGCAAAATAGAACGATGATTATAGCTTGACAAACCTCGCGATCTTTTATTGTATATCTTCAAATGTCAGAATCTCGATGTAGTGTGGACTGTCAAGACCTCCTAATTCTTGCTCTCTCTTTTCAGTCTCTCTCAAAAAAACGAGAGTAAAGAATAGATGCTGAAATAGAGAACCTAGACGTCTATATATAAGCTACAATAGAGACCCTAAGGAGAAATAAGAATCGGGTTCCCAATGGACTTAGAATTCTTATGTTCAACCAAGAACAAACATTTTACAACCCATTAATAATAAATCAGTCCACTAAAGACTTATTATTGATCTCCTGGGTCTTATTTCAAAATTATATTCGAACTCCTTATTACTATATGCATATTAATCTTCCCACGTTTAAGATTATAGATATCTATCGATTAAATAAATCACTGACAATTATATTTAATTAACTTCTTTTATTCTTTAAAACCTTACCACTTAATTTATTTGTCATGTCAGATAATTAAATCCACTTGTAAGGTTTGACATGAACAAAATTTATGAGTTGTCTCAAGAAGACATCATCAACCAATTTAAATATTAGGACATAGTTTTCTTTAATATTTAATTTCTATCATACAAATAACATCGTCTCCCAATTCATTGAGCTTATTGACCCAATATGAATCTCACTCTTTGATGAAATAAAGTGACAAACATTATATGATTTGGTAATTAAATATTTAGAGATTAAGAATATAATCAATCATAATAATCATGATATATTTATTATCTTATTAAATCAGTAAAAGATAGTAACCTCAACACGGGTTTGTTCAATACTCAAAGTGTGCTAGTGCAATAATTCAAAACATCAAACAATCTCCTACAGTCAAGACAGACTATGCCAGAATATTACACTACAATTATACTGATGGTGTGTTCAATTTCATCTACGATTGTGAATATATGCTCATATTATACAAGGATTCAATGATCGGGTCTTCTGTACATAAGTCGAACTCTATACACCAGATTATTTACAATATAAAATATAAGATACACATGCATATTATATATAAAATATAATANCAATGATCGGGTCTTCTGTACATAAGTCGAACTCTATACACCAGATTATTTACAATATAAAATATAAGATACACATGCATATTATATATAAAATATAATACAAACATTTTTCCTTTATAAATTCTCAATAAAATAAAAAGAATAAATTTTTATTAATTAATAAAATAAATTTCACTACAAAAAAACAAACTTTTAATATCCTACTCCATCGTTGACTTGTAGTNATACACATGCATATTATTTCACTACAAAAAAACAAACTTTTAATATCCTACTCCATCGTTGACTTGTAGTGCAGCATCAACTCAGAGCTATATTACCAAAAATTGAGCCCAGGCCCTTATGGAAAAGTATAGCTTCCCCAACGGGGTAATGCTTCATGTTCCCGAGGTTGAAGATCAATGCAATGTTTATGTTCCCAGGAAATGAAGAGTTGGTGAGAAAGGCAATGGCGAAAAGGAAACGGAGGCGGCTGGTGAAAATGGTTGATCTATCTGACCCAAGAGGTCTGAATTGACTGTTTTGTCGCTCACTGGGAATGCCTCGAATCCTCTTCCTAAAAAGTTGCAACCTAGCAGGATTCCCCAGCTCTGACCTCTCCTGAAGGAATAGGTCTCGCCCAGAAAAGTGTAGTCGTTTTAGACAAATCTGCTTCTCAAACTACCAATGCTCCTGCTCCTACTCTCCGGGCCTCCAGTGCATCTGAGACTTCTGCTTCAGCGACTCTTGAGAAAGAAACAGCTTGTGTCAGCTTAGATCGTCCTGTTCAGATTGGAGATAAACCTGCCTTTCTGCGCGATCTTTCCTTGGCCGTGCAGACTCTTCTCAATGTGGTTCCCGAGGACGAACTCCGTGACATGATGAAACTTAGCTTCAACAACAAGGTTGCCCAGGCTCTCCATGGTTTAGTCGCGGTATGGTTTTTCCTTTTATTATTTTATTTTATGTTCTACCCTTCTGATTATCCTATTCTTCATTTGCAGTCCATCACTTATGTTAAAGCCATGAACCTCCAAGGACAAGATTTGCTCAAGCTTTGCAAGGATAGAGCCCTGGAGCTGACTGTTTGCAAGGAGTGCCTTGGATCTCTTCATTAAGAAGTGGATGAGTTCAATTCCTCAAGATGAGCTTGGCTTCCAAGGAGTCTGAGGTCGCCAACCTAGTTGCAGCTGTGGACACTGCTAAATTTGAGAAGATCCGAGCCGAGGAAGAAACAATAAAGCTGAGAGCAGAGGTTGAAGAGGCTTCCAAGGAGTGGCTTGCAAGGAGCGGCTGGATCTGGGAGATGCCTTTCAGAGGTTGGAGGCGTCCTTGAAAGCCAAGGATGAGGAGAGAGAGAGAAACTCAAGAAGGAGGCCACCAATAGCTTCGTTGCTGCCTTCGAGAACTTCCAGAGGCAAGCCGAGAAGAAATTTCCTGCATTNGAGGCCACCAATAGCTTCGATGCTGCCTTCGAGAACTTCCAGAGGCAAGCCGAGAAGAAATTTCCTGCATTGGATTTTGACTCCATCATGCCGGTTTTTCTGGAAGGGGCAAAGAGAAAAGGAGCCTAGGTCTCAACCGAGGATGCTACTGTGCCACAGGAGGTAAGGAAAGAACACAGCTGAAGTATCGCTTTACTAGATAGAGCTAGAAAACTATAATTGAATCAACTATTTTTAAAGACACTGCTGTTTTTTTATCCCTCTTTCCCCAAATATCTATAAGGTCATTCGGGGGAGGTTATTGATCATCTCTTGCCCCCAACACCTCTGGAAGATGAGTATCTTTCTTGAGGTGTGTAATTTATGCTCAACATACATTAACTTATTGCGGTCGAGGCAATTCAGTCGTGTTCAGCCTTCGGTTGAGGGTGTGCCTCTTAAGGACTGACTAGGAAACTAGGAAGGTTGAGGAGGCCGTTCCTTGGTGATGAGCTTAGAAATCTAAGGAGCTTATCTTAGCTGAACAGCTTAGGAATCCGAGGTGCTCATCCTAACTGAGAAGCTTAGAAATCCGTGGAGCTTTCCTTTAGTAGTAGGACATGCTTTGGTAGTTAAACGGATTTGTCTCTTTGTTATAATTCCTATGAAAGCAAAGAGAACTTGCGATCTTATTACAAGTTGGGTTGTAGTGTTTGCAAAAGGTACAACCATTTTTCTTTTCTTTTCCTTTGACTTCTTTTTCAAACAATAAGAATTGCTTAAGGATGTCAAACATTGCCTGGCTGAACAATGGTCGTTGTACTGTATCGGTTTCTCTATTTTTAAGTGCTGTTTTGCCTCAACTGATCCAAGTAGGAACAGATATAGCTGGATGATAATGCCAAACATTGCACAGATATACTAACCCTCTGTTTGAACACTGAACTGCCTTTTTAAAGTGCTTTCACCATCCTAGGGTGAAACATGTGTAACTTAATTGACTTAATTTTCGTATTGGAAAGATTTCTTTAGTCTGACATCTTTGTTGTTAGGTTACTGAATTGTGACCTGTATACAAGGATGCTCAAGCTTACTTGTGTGCATATAGATGCTGTCTCTATTTGCCCCCAGCTCAAGCCAAATGAAAAAGATGCTCAAGCTTAATTGAAAATGTTCAAGTAACTCGAGTTTAGCTCATTGCTAATACGAGGAACTAAAAAAGTTTGCCAATGTACTTAAACTAAGTCAAAGATATCCAAAAAAGTAGAGGAAATGGCAAAGCGATTCTTGCCCTCTCTGATCTTAATGGATACAACAATAGCACAGAGAGTAGAAGGATGATATAGTTGCTTGCACAATTGATGTGAAAAGACCCTGACTTGATGCACTGATAAACCAAGGCAGGGTTTCCAAGTCCCCTTATTAATTGTGAGTGAGGACTCTGGCATGAGTTTTGAATCTTTTGATCCTCCACATAAAAATGGAAAGGAAAAGCCAGAGAACTTGAAGATAACAAAAAATAAGAAAAGGAGTGGAAATAAGGTGAAGAGAAATAAAAATAATCCTTGAAGGGCGGCTGTTGAAGAAGAAGGAAAAAGGAGTAGAAACAAGGAAGAGAAGGGAAAATGTCATTTTAGGTTTGTTGATAAGATTACAAATATTTTTTGAACTCTTAAAGCCACAAGAGAAATTGGACCTTAGAGAGTGGACACTTCAGAATTGTGATTGAGATTTGAACCTGAGATATTTGTCAAAAGGGTGGCGAGACTCAAATGGTGGCTTTTGAAAAGATTTCGAGGTTCATGGGCATTATAAATGAAAACATTAGTTTTTTACTGTGCTCTTAGTGCAGAAGTATGCCTCAAGCCTTGGTGCTTAGCTTGAGCTCCGCTCTTTTACCATGCACTGAGCTTGATCAATGTGCATTTATTGAGATGAATCTGAACTGCTCAAAAGCCTTTTTTTGTTCTTTCCAATTTTACTGCTTATGTTAGTTCCATGCTGTTGCACCTTTTTACACTAGATAGAAATTGATCACAGATGTACAGGATTCTTTTTTTTTTTTTT